AATTTTATAAAGATAATAATTAAGTATTCTGTTAGAATTTAATGATTATACTAATTATATTTTAGATTTTTTATATTTAAAATGAGATGTTTATTATGTATTTGATTGTGTTTATCTGCAGTTAGTTTCACGAATTTAGATATGGGATGAAATCGGATATGGATGAAATCGTTTAGGGATGAACGGGTTTAAGAATTTTTAAGAGTTTTAAGAGTTTTTGTCAAATACTTTATAATATAGTATAGATTTAACAATCTAACAAAATATTTATTTTTAAATAAAGTAAAATTAAAAGATAACATACAAAAATTACTAACAAACACACAAAAAATTTGAAGTTCATGCAAATAAAAAAAAACAAAATTACGGTAGATATTGTAATATAATTTTGAATATAGCAAATTATGAATTGGTTTAATATCAAATGTATCTATACTATATTAAAAAAAAAGTTACCGTTATCTTGAAAATTTTAAGAGTTACTTGTGGTTGTTCAAATATACAAACTTGAAAACTTCAACATTCTCACACATATTAAAAATCAAATATTTTAAATTTATAATAATTAGTCATTTAATTTACTTTATATCTATTACTTTTTCGTTTTACACCATTTATTATATTAACATAATTAATCGTATATAAACTAAACTGCATTAAAAATATTTATTTTTTTACAAATTATACCATTATAATCATCTCGTAAATGCCTTCAAAATGAGTCCAATATCGAATATTTTTGGATTTAATCATACTATTAAATAACATAAATACACACGATAAGATATATCTATCTATACTAATATTATAAAAGACGAGCTTTAGTTTTCTTGAATTTTTAAAAGGTATAAGTATTCTTGCATGATGTACAACCATCTCATACATATGTTATTGTAGATCCCAGATCACAACAAATCAAGATCGAATTCAGACTCTAAAGATGTATCCATGAAGAACCGTGTGTTTAGCGAGCAAACAGGTCGGCCTGATTTTACTGAAAGCAAAACTCAAAGAGCTCAATTACATTAGACGACTCTCATAATGAATTCTAAACCCAAGACACCTATTTATAGGTGTCAATACAGTGTGTAAGCCCAATTACAAAAGTAAAGAATATTACAATACAATATAATGACTTTATAAAACTTTCAATATCTTGGGGCTAATCTAGACCCAACAATCTCCTCCTAAAATTTTATAAAAGAAGCATCTTTTGAAGCATCAAATAATATCCCCCTGCTTTCTTTGGAAAACTTTAGTGTTGCTCGTCTTTGAAGTACATTTCAAGCTCCCCCTTGAATATAGCTCATATTCTTCAGTTTCAACTTTAAAATAAGATTCAATGTGCCTTCGACACCATTGATTGCACCGACAAGTAGCTTTAAACTGTAGACAACTCAACACAACCATTAACCTCAGAATCTCAACCAGCCCATAAGCATATTGATTCATCCAACAACGGGATAGATAATGTGTGAGTTACGTGACATTCCACTACGTGGAATCAAAGGGCATGGTGGTGTTGGTCGTTGCTGTTGGTACCACGGTTGCCATGGTTGTTGAGAATAGAACCAAAACGAAGGCCATTTTGAGTCTCATCTATGCCCTCGACCACGACCGCAACCACGAGCTTGAGTCTCTAGGGAGAGATTGTTGCATGGTGTGTGGAGATGGCGAGGTATTAGAAGGTTTGCCTGAATCATGGGATGGTATGTTGGTGCCGAGATTACTGACCAGCGCATTTTGAGAACCAATAGACAGAGCAGCCTTCTTAGGCGCCGTTTACCAAACGCTTACTCGGGTAAGCGCTTACCAAGTAACATTACCTCACCGGATGAATATGGTAAGGATCAAAAATCTTACTCGGTAAGAGCAAGACAAGAACCAAAAGTCTTACCCGGTAAGTGAGGGCGACGACTCTTACCATGGTAACCATGGTAAGCCCTTACCGGGTAAATTGTTACATACGATGTCGTTTTGGTGGACTAAAATCTTACTCGGTAAGTAAATAATAGTGTTAAATTTTACCAGTAAACGCTTACCGGGTAAATTGTTGCATACGATATTGCTTTGGTGGACTAAATCTTACCCAGTAAGTAGATAATAATGTTAAATTTCACCAGTAAGCACTTACCGGATAAGTGTTTGATTAACCTGGATATCTAACCCGCTATGTGAGCTGACTAATCCCAGGACGACCACCTGCTTTGCAGTTAGCCCAGAATCACCGCATTTAAACCTCCGTGGCTGCAAGAGGATTTTTATTCCTCCTTGGATTTGAACTTGAGATCTTCTGTTACTTTTGACCTTTGGAGCCAAGCTCAAACCAATCAGACACCACCCTTGTGGTTATATATTGGCTTTTTCCAATCTCTAGTATATGGGAATAAAGGTTCTGATATTAGAAACAGTGAGAGTCGGATGAAATGGGGTAGTTTTGGCTGGATGAATTAAGGCGGTTTTGGAATGATCATCGACTGCCATTAGAAAAGGTTAAAATGTGATCTCCCTTCATGCATTACCTCGTAAATATAACGATACAATCCATAATTAATTCCTCAATTATCTCCATGAGAATCCTTGCCATATACATGTACAATTGCTTGAAGTAATCAGGGCCGGAACACAAGCTTTCCAACCGTATGGGCTGGACTTGATATATTTTTTAAAAATACACCATCCAAAGTTAAAACGTAGTAAAACTCTAAAATTAGACATCAAA